ACACACACACACACACACACAAATTGCCCACTAAGTTAGGTGACACACATTACACTCAAGTCCTAATGTACTCCTCTGAATTTGTTACTGCTTTGATAAAATACCTTCTGTGGCTATTTTTCAGTGTGACCATAAGATTTTCCACAATCTGGTCCAAATTTACTTCTGTTTATACACCCAGATCAATGAGCATTTTTCTGTTCTCCAACCCCACTATGTGTCTCTGTACCTCCAGAGATCTGTTCCCACCATTCCCTTGAATACTGATTCTCTCCCCATTTATACCTGTCAAGTGGTTCCCTCATTTCTCTCTGATAGCTAATGAAACTGGCAAAGAGAGGTTAATGAATATATGTGCTGTCATCTACTGTCACACAGCTTTTGAGGGTTAGTGCCAAGGTGGGGTTGTTATCTAGGTATATCAGACTTCAAATCTTTTGGGAATTATACTGTGGCATGCTCTCCCCAGATTTCAAATTCCTTCTTAAATGTGTGACCAGACGTGAATACAATACTCCAAGGGCCCCTGACTCAGACAGAACTCAGTGGAGACCTCATTTCTCTTACAGCAGTCTACACTATGTATATACAGTGATGTATGTGAAATTGCTTTGTAAATGATGGATCTCTCAATTGATAATTATAATGATTACGAGGCTAAAGAGTGAATGATCTATTTTGATAGCTACTTTCTCCTAATTACTCTCATTAAGAAAAGAAAGTTAGGTCTTCTAATAATACCTTTAATTTTTTTCTAGTTGAAGATGGACACATACCTTTATTTTACTTATTTATTTTTATGTGGTGCTGAGGATCAAACCCAGTGCCTCACTCATTCTAGGCAAACATTCTACCATGTGAGCCACAACCCCAGCCCCTAAAAATAAGTTTCATAAATCCAGGGAACACAAAGGCTCTCTGCAGGACCCTGTTTGTCAAGGTGTGTGTCGGGGGCCACTCTGCTGGTACATGCATTGAGGCAGCTGTCTTGACTGTGTTTCTGGTGCTGTGTCGTGGTCATGGGTGGGAGCCATTGAAGTTTCCTCAGTTGGGTTATTCAATCATAAAATGAAGCAAAGCAAAACAGAGGTTTATATGCCTACAAGCTAATCATCACTTTGCTTCTTTTCCCAGGAGAGAAAGTGAATCTATGTCTCTTTCCATCTCTGCATCCTGATGGGAACTTTTCTCTGTCTAGATAGCAATCAATGGCCTTTGAAACATGGTTTCATCCTCCCCTAAACACTAGGCTGCAGGAGGGTGTTGTTACATCAGATACACAGATGATTGTCCCAGGGTCTTATCCTTTAGCTCTGCAGGATCAGAGACTTCTGGCTGAGGGTGTTCACTAGACTCTGGGAATCAGAGCAGGGTTCTCGATTTGGATCGGGCTATTGCTAGAGCTGACTAGAGTTTTCAGAGACTGTATTATTATGAGCCTCCAGGGTCCAGGATGCTTCTGAATCCAGGGGTACCTGTTGCCCCAGCAGCAGAAGAGCCCCTGCTCTGTTCATGTATTGATCCTTCACTGGAGGGGCCTGGTCTGCAGGGAGTCACAGACTTTAAACCTGGCTCCTCATGCCTACCACTGCCTCCTTGACTCCCTCCTCCATCCTAGGTCACTTCCAAGGTGCTTTCTGCAGCCATAACATTATCTTGCATTATTGTCTGCAACTTCCTGATGCTTTCCAACCCATTCTCTGCCCACCCACTCCCCTATGCCTCTTGTGTATCAGAGAGTCTCAGAATAGCTAACGGCATATTTGGAGCATGGTCCTGCCTTTAGTTCAGTCCACCCAAGGCCTGACCATCCGGCTGGCCTCTACGCTGCTTCAGCCTCCACACTGAGAACACTCCCATTATTTTCCTTCCTTTAACCTTTTCAACTTCGAATGCCTTCCTGTGACTCCATCCAGTTGTCCCCAGTGCTGGAGCTCATCACTGACGGGAACTACATAAGCTCTCATAGTGAGAACCCTGTAAATCCCTTCTGAATCCCCAGCCTCTTCTGACATTTCCACATCTCCCAGGACTTCGCTCCTTGCTGAGGCTAAGCTAGAAGCCATGGGGTGGTGGGCCCACTTAAGAGCCTCAATTCTGGCTTTAACAGTCCATTCCTGGCCCCTTCATGCCCCCTTAAAATTTCTCACCTTATCGTTGTAACAATTATTTTTGAGCCTGTGTCCCACAAGCTACCACTGACTCCTTGAAAGTGAACTGGTTCTCATGGTGGTTGTTTTCGGATGATGAACTTCACACAACGTAAACCCTGGTGGCCGTGTGCAGGATAAGGGAAGGAATAGTGGTTTGATATGGAGATATGAGGAAGACCAAGGCAGCCGGGGAACCTGGGAATGTTAGCGATGGAAAAGTGGACTCAGTCCTCAAACGTCTACACTGCCACCTCCTGGGCTAATTAAAGACAGTTTTCAGCTTTTAGAATGATTCATCCCATTTATATATTCCTTCATTCTTTCAAAATATTTTTGTAGTGTGCTTGTCTGGACAGGGTGGTAATACTTGGGATGACAAAGTTAAAAAAAAAAGCTCACGGCCCTGTTGGGGCCGAATGGTCATAAAAATACTCTACAAAAACATCTGTGAATACAGCTAAGGGAATTATCTCATTAAATGTAAATAATGGGAAAAAAAGGAAACGAAAACTAATGAGATAAGAAGATTTCATCACAAGAGACTGGAAGACAAGTGGCAGCATTGATCCAAAGAGAGTAAAAGGAAGGAAATGATAAAGGTCAATGAATTTAACGGAACAGACAAGAAGACCACACGTTATTCTCAGAAGAGAGTCACTTTGCATTCTCAATGGGTTTAACCGAGAAAGGACAGGGCCACCTGGAACTGATGGGGTGGGATCACTCTGGGCTCCTCTCTAGCCGTCCACGTGGTGGTATACTGTGAAGGCCCCTGGACCTCAGAGTGAGTGGAGTGGAGGATGAGCGGACTGTTTAGCCGGCTTTCCATCTAAGAACAACTTAGAGGAGAAAAAGCTCACCTGCAGCTCATGGTTTCAGAGATCCGGTCCACAGACGGCAGACTCCACTGCTGTGGGCATCAGACAAGGCAGTACATTGTGGCCCAAGGCCCCATGGGGGAAAGCTGCTTGGCTCTGGTGGGGTCGGGAAGCAGAGAGAGAAAGACAGAGGAAGGGGCCACAGGAAGAGGCACCTTCCAGGGTTTCCCGCTTGTGCCCTCCTCCTGCAGCCATGCCACCTGCCTGCCCTTACCCCCAGTCAGCTCATTCGGACGAGGGTAGTCGGCTGGGTTAGAAGCTGTCACAAGCGAATCATTTCACCTCTGAACCGTCCTCATTAACAGGGCTTCAGGGGGACACCTCGTGTCCAGACCAGAACACCTCCGTAACTCATGTTGTGACTGAAGAGGAGAACTTACTGAAGATCGTTAAAGAGTTGGTGAGAGGGCAGCATGAACAGCTTTACCTGATAGAGTTGAAAACCTCTGATAAATAGAAAAATTCCTAAAAGATACACCTCAACAAGTTTGACCCCAAAATGAATAAAAATATGAATCGTCTTCTAACTCTTGAAGAAATGGCATCTAGCATTAATACCCTCCTATAATGAAACAAAACCATTAAACATCTTCAGGCGAGATAGTTTCACGGGTGAATTCTATAAAACAACAAGTTGGAAATCATGTCAAACTGATTCGTTTCCGTACTGGGGATCGATTCCCAGGGCCTCACACACGCTAGGTAAGGGCTCTAACACTGAGCTACCTCCCCAGCCCAATAACACCAATTTTTAAACAGCTATTTTCAGTATCAGGAGAGGAGAGACACTCTCCAACTTATTCTCCGAGGCAGCACAATAAAAACACCCTTCTGTTAAGGAAAACTTCAAACTTATTACAAACACAAAGAGATTAACATAGATAACACACAAGTGCCAATTAGTTGGCTTCAATAATGAATAATTCATGACTATTTAGATTTCAAGTATACTCCCCAACTATTTCCTCAAAAGAAATCCCTGTGCATTATATAATTTTACCTGTAAATATTTCAACACGTATCTTTAAAAGATAACCCTGTTAAGAACATACCCAGTATCAATACGGTGACTAAAAGAATCGACAATAATTTCTCAATAGCATAAAATATCGAGTCTGTGTTCAAATTTCTCTCACATTCTTTTCACAGTTTGTTAAGTCAAATAAGGTCCACACACTGTGTCTGACAGGTCCTTTAAGACCCTTTTAATCTATTGGCTCCTGGAGTCCCTCTTTTTCTCCCCCTTGCAATTTATTTGTTCAAGAAACCAGGTTATTTCACTAGGCTTTTCCACAGCATAGATTTTGCAAATAGTGTATACCCATGGCAAAGTGGAACACATCTCTCTGTTCTGTAATTTCCTTTAAGGTGGTGAATTCAGAGACTTGAGTAGATCTAATTAAAAAAAATGGAGGTGTTAGAATACTTAACAGTAAATTGGTTTCTTTAATTGAGAGAAGCATAATGGCTGAATGCGTGCTTGACTCTTCTTTTTGATGTTAGTAGCCACTAGTTATCAAGTTCAATAACCCATGAGGCATAATTAAAGTGATGATATCATAATCCAACCATTCCAGCTCCTTTTATTAGCTGGAATACTTTTAGAAGGAGAAACTTCCCTTCATCAACCATTTGGATACCACAAGATAGAGCTGATACAGAAAAAACACACACATACACAAAAATCCAAAATAAAATACCCCCAACAGAATAAAGCTCAATTCATAGAATGATGAATCGGCTCCGCAGTGTACCAACAGAATAAAGCTCAATTCATAGAATGATGAATCGGCTCCGCAGTGTAGCCCTGGCCACAGCAGTGCTGCCTAGCCAACCGCCTGGGAACCTAGCAGAAGACAACAACACGCATTTGTTCTTCACACAGGAGTCTGCAGAACAAGCCTGAATGAGCTGACTTAGGATTGATTGGTAGGCTTTGTGGCTTCCTGCTGTGGCTTTGTGTGGGTTTAACTCCTGGCTCCAGACACAGATCAGCCCCGTGTACATTTATTCTGAGGCCCAACTACACCTGTAAAGTCCAAGTCTTGGCTCCTCACTTCCATATGCCACTGGCCAAAGCCAGGCACCTGGCCAAGCTCCCCTCCTCCCGCAACGCCCCCCCCCCAACTAAGACCGCAGGAAACACTTTGCCTCCACCGGAACTAGGAGTGCTTATTGGTGGTACCGTCTTTATAACAAATGGTGCTGGATAAATCGTATTTTTCTACTTCACTTCATAAACAAACTTCAATGCCAGGTGAGCTGTAGGTCTGGAAATACAAGTGTATTAGAGGATAGTATATTATCTTTATTTTTCATGGGATAGGAAAAGACTTTTTAAGAATAATAGAAATAAACGTTAACCCTAAAAGAAAGTGTTATAAATTGCACTGCATTAAAACTAAGAATTTTTGTTAATCAAAGAACACTGTTAAGAGGGTGAATAAGCAAGCCACAGAGTTAGACAAGATATTTGCAAAACACATCCATGACACACAGATCATACACACAGGATTAAAAAGATCTACCATTTATCAGGAGGTGAGATTCCTAGAAGTAACATTACCAGTTTGGATGATCAGAAATAGTATTTACATGAAGTTTAAGTGTGTATTTTTCTTACAAGTAACCTTGAGTGTATTTCATTTGTTTAAGGGAGATTTGTATTTCTCTCTTTTAAAAAAATATGTTTAGTTGTAGATGGACACAATACTTTTACTTTATTGATTTATTTTTATGTGGTGCTGAGGATGGAAACCAGGGCCTCACACGTACTAGGCAAGTGCTCTACCACTGAGCCACAACCCCAGCCCTGTATTTCTCTTTTCATTTTTTTTTAAAAAATCTGCCCATTTTTCTGTTGGATTGGTGGTCTAAGAGCTTTCATATAAAATATACACATTAGGAAAATCAGCTCGTTGAGAAACTAATTGCAAACAATTCTCCCTATTTTGTTGTTTGCCTTTTGTCTTTGCTTATGATGCACTCTTAATTTCTGGAATATACAGGCATTTTTTATTTTAGGTAGACAATTTATCATCTTTAATAAAACAGAATTCACTTATGGTTCCTCAAGTACTTCAATATTTTTATTCTCATATCCACTTTTGATTCACTAAGAGTTCATTATGGCATATTGCATATGTATACCTCCAAATATTGTTACATCTCTCTGGGTTTGAGCTCCTAATTATTGAAAATTCAAAGTGCGTTTATATGTTTGATAATTTCATATATACATAATTATGCCAAGTGATGGTTTATCATGATTGTTTTCTCATTGAGAAATAAATAACATTAAGTACATTTTTTTTTTTTTTTTTTTTTTTTTTACCTGTGGAAGGCACACCTTCTGTTATTCTCATATAAATACACCTGGGCTAGCAACAGCCTTCCCTCAGGTTTTCTGCCAGTGAACCCCTCAGGCGCCCTTTAATCTGTATTTGGGGACCTCAGGGCTCTACGTACTTTCCAAGTCTTCAGAGTGGGAGAATTTCATGGATTCTTCCTAACTTGCTGTTCTAAAGATGAGCTCACAAACGATTCTCGCTTTAAGGGCTTAACTGCGGATCATGGTAGCAAACATTCAGTCATAAATAAAAATCTCAGGCATGAAGATGCTGCTGAGGCTTAAGAAATGCGTAACATGGCATCCAGCATTGTCACCAACTGCAATTCCCCGTCCTCTTGCTACGTGTCTCTCCTTGAGGCCCTTGTCCAGGGTCCCCTGTGTCCCTGGAGGATGGAGCTCACAAGCATGACTCCTTCAGAGGTCAACAGGCCGATGAGGCTCCGGCTCCTGGGAGAGACCTTTCTAGCCTCTGTCCCTGCAGAGCATGGCTTGGCCAATCAGTGTGCAGGACGGGTGGGCAGAGTAGTTTTTAGGACCTCTGGTCTGAGCAGTGCCACTTTGAAGGGCTGCCACTCAGGTGACTTTTGCAGAAAGTCTCATGGGTTCGTCTTTTCAGAGATGGCTCAGGGGGACCGGGGCTGAAGAGTCAGGGCCACCATCAGGCATGGATGAGGAGGTAGAAAGGTTTGGTTTGTGTCAGGGAACAGTTTGATCGGAGGCAGGGGAGGGTCATGAATGGCCATGGTGACTACAGAGTTACAAGTACCGACGATGGCACGTGGTGAGCCGCCTCCTGAGAGCAGATTTCTCTCCTCCCATCCTGACCCTGCAGGGACCCTGGGTGAAGGGGGCTGGGTGGGTGCTGGTGAGAGGTCTCCGTCTGCAGTCTTGAGACTCCTGAAGCACGTTAGTCTCCAAGGATGCCACACTTCCAGATGTCAGGGACACAGCCCACCTGTCCCCAGGATCCCCAGGTTGGCTGGGGATGAGGAAGGAGCTCAGGGAAAGTTGGGCAATCTTGTCCTTTCCCAGGGAGGAGGTTCCTGGGCTCATTCTCAGGGCGGGTCCCCAGGTGCTCCCAGCCCAGTCTGGTTTCACCTGAGTTCCTCTGGGTGCTGCGGAGGCAGCCAGTTTTGGACCCTCTGTCCTGGGTCTTCTGTCGGGGATCCCAGGTTTTCCTTTCCCTCGGAGAAGCCGGAGCCGCAGTGCGCCATTCCCAGGGAAGGAGCGCCCTCTAGTGCTGGGGAGAGGGAAGGCTGGAGGAGAAGGAGCTGCCAGCCAAAGAGGAGCCAGCGGACTGCACCCTGACCCGCTGGGCCGGGACAGCGCAGGGTTTTGTAGGTATTTCTGAGTCTGAGTGTTTCTTCTTCAGAGTCCCCCTCCCCAAGAAGGCACTGGACTCCATCAGGTTAAAATGTGAACATGGTGGAGAAAGTTCCCCTGACCCCCGTCTTGGACTCTTTTCTGTTCTCCATGTTTCTAGGTGACTTTGGTACTAGCCCTCCTTGATCTTTCTCGCCAAGGCTGTGGGTCTTGGGGTTTCCTCCACACAATCCCTTCCCTCTCTGTCCAATCCCTGTTACGTGTCACTTGTCTCCTGCTCTGATATTTATTTATTTAAGGGTAGAGATGGATGGCCACGTGAGCCAGGGCGCCCACCTACCCTGCCAGCTCCGGGTCTGCAGCTCCAGGTGCCAGTGGGAGACACCACAGTCCTGTCCCTGGGGAGATGGAGGCTGGATTCAGGCCTCAAACTTCAGTTGTATGATGGGAGAGGTGTGGGGCAGGGTTTGTGACATTAACCTTCGTGGTTGGGGAAGCACCATTAAGTGACCGTCATCCAAACCTCTCGTTGATCAGGACTGGCAGTGGCTTCTAGGACTTTTACAAGGGGCCAACTCCTTTTCTTGGAGGCCAGCTACAGGGTTTCCGTCTTGGGAAAGTTAATCCTTGTGTCCTGTTTGGGTAAGGAGGAAGGCTGAACACTGTCCCAGACACGTCTTTGGTGACTGCCTCTTTTGTGAAGGGGTCATTTTGTCTTTGGTGCACAGTTTTCCTAAATGAATGAAATCCTGGTGTTATTTGCTATGAGCTTGCTTGTCCTGATCCAGGAAGCTCCTATATCTTCAACCCTTAAGCTGTGGTTCTAAGAATTTTCCACCTGGAGACTGAAGTATTAAATGAAGGTGATGATTTATCCCATCATCTCTCTCATCTAAACCTCCTTCTATAGTTTGTTGGCATTTTGCTTGATAGCTTGATATTTCATATTGACTGAACATGAGTACGCTATTCACTGCTGTCTGAAAGAGCAGAAAAAATTCCTGGAGATGGTGGTGGTGGGGACCGTAGTGATTCTGTGGTTTGTCTTCTGGGGCCACATGGAGAATCTCTGCCATCAGAAACTCAGGCAGGTTGTGGTTTCAGGCAGAGGTTCTGGGTCAGACAGACCTGAGAAGTAGAGGTTGGTTCTGGGTAGTTGGGTGTGTTAGTCAGCTCTTCAGCACTTGTGACAAAATACCTGAGAAAAATAACCTAAAGGAGGAAAGATTTATTTTGGCTCATGGACTCAGTCCAGGGCCAGCTGATTCCATTGCTAGGGGCCTTGGGTGAGCATCGTGGTTAGACAATCCCACGATCGTGAGATTAGAGCTCTCATGATCCAGCACTTCTCTAAAGCCCCACTTTGAACATTGTTGCACTGGGGATTAAGTTTTCAACATGTGAGGCTTTGGGGGATTTCACAAATCCAGATCACAACACTGGGGAACTTCAAGCAAATGATTTAAACCGCTTGAGGCTGTTTCCTGATGGTAGGTGTGGACTTAATGAGATGGTCCATGGAATCTTCAGAAAATACCTGGACTGCAGAAGGTGACCGGTAACTGCCGTCACTATTCTCATTTTCTAATGTTAAGATTCCGATCTATACTCTTCCCTAGAGGGTCCCACGTTGAGGGCTTAGTCCCCAGTGTAGCAGTGTTGTGTTGGGGTTTTGGGGTCACGAGGTGATTGGGTCGCGAGGGCTCTGATCTTATCAATAGATTAATTCATGGATGGGCTCATCGTTGAATGGACAATTGGGCAATGGCAGAAACTCTGCGGGGGGGGGACCTAGTGAAAGGGAGGGGTCCTGGGGCAGGCCTTTGGAGACCGTATCTTGAGGTTCACTGATCCTGAGGTCAGGGATCTTTGTAAAGTGAAGAACCGAATGGATGACTTTACACTCCTCTGACTCTCCAACAGGACACCGTCTGAAGACCAAACCTTGTCATTTGGTGCAACTGAACCTCAGTGTTCTTATCTGCAAAAATGGTGTTCAGGTTTACCTTGGAGGGATTTTGTAAGGGACAGATGTAAAATTAAAGCACTACCTATGAAGATAGCCCCGCAGGGTTGATTTGTAATCAAGAAATGCGAGAACACTAATGCCTATGTCTAGCCACGACTCTCCCCACCCGTTAGTGTCCTCACCTTTATTGAGCACCTGGTGTGTGCAGAGGACCTTGAGAAGCCTGAGCCAGGTGCTGGCCCTCAGGAAGCAGAAACGGGCACCAGTGGAGGGTGAGTGCTCTATCTAAGGAGGGACCATGTCATATTCACTGTCAGTGTCTCTCCAGGGTCACCGTCCTCCCAGGCCACCACCTGCACTCTGTCGTTGACCTGAGGTCACGTGAGGATGCTGCCCCTGCTTCTCGTCCTCTTTGCTCTGAGTCACCAGGCCTGGGGTAAGTTTTCTTCCCTTGCATCAGAAGTACTTTTGGTGAGTGACAAATGACATCTTTACATTGCATAACAGGATTGCCCCTCAAAGCTCCTCCTTTGCTAGAGGGTGGTGTAGCTTTTCAGTTTGGAGCACTGTTCTGGAATTGACAGATCCCTGTTCCAATACTTTGCCTGTCATTTGCTATAATCTTCAACAAGTTAACCAGAATCTTTGCATTTTATTTGCTTCCATGATGGAAGAATAATATTGCTAATTTCTTAAAGTTGTTTGAGGATTAGATACAAAGTGTGAGACAGTTAGCATAATGCCCAAGTAATAAGCCTCACTGAGCCTCAGTTTCCCACCTGTGGAGGGAGCCGTTATTTGCCTTGCTCATCTCATGAAGTTGCTCTAAGCCACGATTCTGATGGTGTATTTGAGGGGTCTTTGTCATCATAGAACTGGCCTGTGGGAGGTGGCCTTGGGGACAGTTGCCGGTTGTCATTGCTCCTCTGGCTTCTGGTGATGACCAGTACCAGATGAGGGATGGGGGAGGAGGACAAGTTGGCACTGGCTAACCCTCAGTAGGACTTGTGTTTTGAGACCAGACCCATGACCCATGTGTGTCTGTTTTAAGAAATCTGTATGGCACCAACAGGTGCCTAATGGAAGTATGGAGTGTTGACTCAAAATAATGGCCCCCTGGATGCATGAGCAGGTATGCAGGTGGTCCAGGAAGGCAGCCCTGCTCTGATAAGGCAGCAGGAAAGACTTGGGGATGGAGGGGGATTGGAGCAGGGACGGTGGACAAAGTCCTCCTTGGAGCCGATGTGGGAGGCAGGGGCAGGCTGAGACCAGAGATGTCAATGGTTCTCCTTTGTTGCTTCCTACAAGATGTTCTGGGCCTTGGGAGGCTGAGAGACCGTGGGCTGTGGGGTGGGCATGTCTGGAAGGTGCCCCTGGGCAAGCTGGCCAGGTGCTCTCTGAGGACCAATGCAGGCACCTCTGCAGGGAATGGCGCACAGTTCTCCTGGGATGAGACCCTAGACAGAAGAATCTCAGAGAAGCTTCTGGATCTGTATATCAGCGTCTCACAGCTCATTGGCAGGAGTCACAATGGTGAGATTGTTTGGGGGTTGCCCGGGGTTTCTCAGGACTTGACAGTCTGGGCTGGGAGTGGGTAAGGGGGGCAGAGTTCCAAGGGGCTCACCTGTCAGTGACTTCCAGGGACTGTCCTGAGTCTGTAGGGAAAGGTGGGTTCCTTGGTAACCCAGGCAGAAAGGACACATCCCTCCCTCCCCAGCTCCCAGGGTGAGAGCTCCTGGGGGTCTTCCGATGAGGAGGAGAAGGGGAACCTTCTGGGAGCGGCCCAGTCCTGTGTGGGTGTCTTGCAGCCCTGCCCCTGGACAGTTTCCGTCTGGAGAGAGTCTTCTTCCTGTGTGCTTGCAGCCCCTAGGTGAGGCTGTCAGAACCTCCCCAGAGAGTCACTAATCTGGGTGAACACGGACAGAACAGGGCGGAGGGAAACACACCCTAACCATCCATGCTAAGGATGGACGAGGCGGCTCAGAACCCCAGGGCTCTGTGTGGGGTGTTGGCTAGGGGTGTTTTAAGGAGGGGCGATCCTACAGGCCAGGGAGGAGGTGAAGCTGGGCTTGTCCTCTAGGTACGTGTGAGGGGAGACTGTCTGGGGACCAACCTGCCTCCCAGGCCGAGGGCGAGGCATCTCCTGGGAGGTCGCTGAGCCCAGATGGGGCTGTGGAGATAGGGAGGGGCTGCAGGTGGTAAAGGTCCCCCCCCCCCAGGGCTCCTTGCAGGCAGGCTGGGCTGGGTCTGCTGCACGCTATCTGGTGTCTCCCCTGCAGGCTTTCCCACCATCGTCTCCCGCAAGGAGTGGGGGGCTAGACCACTCACCTGCAGGGCCCCCCTGAGCCCACCCGTGCCCTTCCTCATCACGGAGCAGCTCACGGGGATGGAGTGCCAGGAGCAGACCCTCTGCAGCGAGATGCTGCGGGGCCTACGGTTCCATTCCGTCCACAGCAAAGGCTGGTGCGATGTAGCGTTCAAGTAAGCGGCCAGTCGGGGCCCAAAAGCCCCTATCCAAAGATGTGTCCCGTCCCCCCTCCTCTCCTTCTCCCGTATTCAGGGCTCCATTTATGTTACTTTCATAATGAATTTAAAAAAATGTTAAAAAGGAGATCAAACAAAATCCACAGCCCTCCCGAGATCACTAGGAGGGGCAACTCTGAGCCACGTCCTCAGGTGGACTTTGACCTTGGGAAGTCCTGAGAAGAGGGGAGGAAGGTTGTGTGACAGTTATAGATGCCCCCCGGGAGCTCACCAAGCATCACAGTTGGCAGAGGTCTTCACAGGTATCCCCCAGTGAGGCCCGCCCAGCTAGTGAAAGAGTGGGTGCAGGAAACAGCATCCTCCTTATTTCCAGGTGAGAATGCTGTGAATTTGTTCAGAGTGACACAGGAAGGGAGCATGTACCCAGGATAGCATCTAGATTGCCTGTTAGTCCAGCCCTGTCCCCTCCAATCCCCCCACAGGGAGTCCCTGTGTGGTGAATTCCTACTCATTACCTTGAAGGGCCACCCCAGGGTCACGTAGGGAGGGGTGGGCATGAGGAATGGTGGGGAGGAGGGCCCCATGCTAAAGTGAGTACACACTTACACACCACTGGGTCTGTAGATAGTGTAACCACTACAGGGATCAACACGGAGCTTCCTCAAGAGACTAGGGTGGAACCAGCGCGGGACCCAGCTACCACCCCTCAGTATTCATCCTAAAGAATTAAAGTCAGTATGATATAGCAATCCATGCACACCCAGGTTTACAGCAGCACAGTTCACCATCGCCAAACTATGGAGCCAGTCTAGGTGGCCATTAACAAGAAAATGTGGGACGTACACACACAGTGCAGTTTTATTCAACCTGGAGGAAAGAAATGATATCATTTGCAGGAAAATGGATAGAACTTGAGAGCATTAAGTAAAGTAAGCCAAACTCAGAAAGTCCGTTTTCTCTTATATTGGGAGCTAAAGAGAAAAAAAAAAAAACAAAACAGAAAACAAAAGTGGAGGGCGATCTCATGAAATTAGAAGTGAGACCAGAGAGGAAGGGAGTGGGGTGGGGAGAGGAAGGACTGGGGAATGAAACTGGCCCACAGTGTCTCTGTGCATGCGTGAATAGGTCACAATGCAGCTCGCTATCATGTGTCGTTATAATGCACCAACTTAACAAAAAAGAAGAACGTGAGGCTGAAAGATCCTTGCTCCGTGTATGGAGTTATCCACTCTAAGGATGATATTGAGGCCAGGCACCTTTTCTCACTTAGTACAACCCCTGTGGCCATCCGTGGAGATCAGAAGGCTAGGAATAGAATCACCATATGGTTCCATTTAGCTTTATTTATCTAGAAAGTGAGAGTTGGAATGGGGTTTTGTCTTACAGAACCCCAAAGACAAACAGAAATGATGTCTGAATTATCCAACTTGGAAAGGATAATCCACACCTGCTGATTTGTTTATTTTGAAACACTAATAAGTAAGAACAGTTGGAGATCTTGGTTGTAGCCACGGCCATCCCTAGGATGGCGGGGCATCTCAGCTCACCCTCTGGGGATGCTGTTTTGACTGTGTTAACCGCAGTGCCTCTCCTGTCCCCGCTTCTCGTACCTACACTGCCCTGCCATGGTCACTGCGGCTTTGCCTACTTAAGCACAGCATGTGTAAGCGATTTCAACCACTGCACCTGGAAGTCAGGTTTCTGCAGTGACCACTTAACTGTATCCACTTCTTACAGCTGACTGTAGCCCTGAGGGGCTGTTCACATTGGACTAACCTCAGGCTTCTGCAGGGGATTTGGTGGGCGTGTTGGGCTCCCACCCCGGTGCTCATTGTGAGGTGGGAAGTCAGTTTGACTGAATGCAGGGTCTTTGCTTGACTTTGGGGAAGTGCACGTCCTTCAGTGTTCAGTTAGCTTCGGAAACTCATGACGTAGTAAAGCTCAATATGGCAAGAGTTGTGAGAATATCGATTCTGAAGCCTGGAACGAGGAGTATATCTATAAAGAGGCAGAAATGAATGAGCAGGGAGAATAAAAATGAACACACCTTGGATTTCAAAGTGAAGTGAAAAAAAAAAAAGAGAACATTCTAAAAAAGTTTCTATGATAAAGAAGAGCTTGAAGGAATTCCTAAGGAGAAACCAAAGAAAAAGGCACTTTTTAAAAGGAACTCCTGAGGGTCGGGTCATTGTTTGAAAGAATGTTCAAGTGCTTGGTCCCGTAATTTAAAAACACGATTAATGAATTCTCAAGCCCTTGAAAATATTGAATAAATGTCCCTGAAAGTCACACATTCAACTTCCACTTTGAAACAAATGCGTATTTTAAAGGGAGATTCCGGAAAGCACAAGTAAGCTAAGTAAAAAGTTGAAGTCTATTCCCGTGTCTCTTAGAGGTCTAACATCTGTCATTCTGTCCCCCTGACTGTTATGTGTTATTGAAGCACAGTGCTTACTTATGAGCATCTAGAATCCCATTTGCCACTGAGGATTAGTGAGGGGTTTTCTGTTACAGAGATTTCCCCTTAAACTCACATTTCCTTGTTTGGCAGCTTCCTGGTTGGGGACGATGGCAGGGTGTACGAAGGTGTCGGCTGGAATGTCCAGGGTTCGCACACCCAAGGCTACAACAACGTCTCCCTGGGCATTGCCTTCTTTGGCAATAAGATAGGTAATGGCCGATCCCCGTGGTCTCTTTGCCAGAGAGTGGTCTACAGCCTCCTTCATCTCCAGTCTCAACGCTTTCACCTTTTCAGCCTAAATCATGCCCATCCTCTGATAATCACCCGTCTCCTGAGGTTCTTTCCTCCACTGGATTCTATGACCGTCCCCGTCCTGCTGAGGCCACCCTGCACATTTTTGGGGCTCACAGTGATTGCCATCAGTTCTGGGGTCTGAAGTTATCTGACACTGACGCCCCGACATGGGGTATTTCTTCTTCCAGTGTCTTCCACCGTAGATCCTGACCAGAGCTCACGGGGAAAGGAAGCCAGAGAGATGCAGTGTGTAGGACTGTAGCCAAGTGCAATCCTGCACAAAACCAAAGCGGAGGAGAGCTCAGAGCAGGGGTGGAGTCGAGAGCTAATAGATAATAACTGGCACCAGTTGATAACTGAGGCTAATAATGGCATTTTTCTCAGGGATTTCCAGTGAGAACTGCGAGTTCATGGATGTAGAGAGCTTGCCACATGCTTGGTCATGGCAACTACATAGGAAATACGTCACGCTTTTCCCCATGAGGGGCCTCACCGTGGGTCAGTGGGCCTTTTGTGTATGCATCTTTGACCTCCTTCTGGCCCTGCCACCCACAGATGGAGCAGATAAATAAAGCCTCAGTTGGCATTTGGAAGAGTGTGTCTGAATAGCTCTGACCCTCTGTCCCAGCTATTGGACCAGCTTCCTCTCTGTCCATCCACCCGTCACTCGGGCTCCGGTGGTCATCTTATCTTCCCCAGTCCAGGTTGGACTACTGACTGTTCTGTGTCCCATGTCATCCATTTCCAGGCAGCAGACCCAGCCCAGCTGCCTTATCAGCTGCAGAGGGCCTGATCTTCTATGCCATCCAGAAGGGTCACCTGTCACCCAGGTACATTCAGCCACTTCTCTTGAAAGAAGAGACCTGCCTGGCCCCTCAGCACCCAGGGGTGTCCGGTAAAGGTAAGACCCTCACCCTGCCTCAGACTGCTCCTCTTCACCACCCAAACACGCTTGGGAGGGCTCTCCCCTGCTGACATCTCCTGGGCTTCCTGGATCCGGAACATCTCACACCCATCACCATGTCAATACCTGCAGAATTCTGAGAGGGTGCTGTGTGAGCCAGAGTTGTGTCACTGTGGCCAAAATACCCAGCAAACCCTCTTAGGAGGGGAAAGGTTTATCTGGGGATCATGGTTTCAGAGGTTTGGTTCAAGTTCAGCCAACTCCATTGCTCTGAGACTGAGGTGAGCATCATGGTGGAGGGCAGAGTGCAGGAAAGCTGCTCACTCATGGCAGCTGTGAAGCAGGGGATGGGGAGAAGGGGCCACAGCAAAAGACGACCCCTTCCAGGGCATGTCCTCAGGGACCCAGCTCCGCCAGGAACACCTCACCTGCCTACACTCACTGCCTGGTTCCTCCATCCCAACCAGGATGGGCTGATAGGTTGCTGCTCTCACAGTCTACCTGGAATACCTCCAATGTTCCTGTGTTAACACTGGAGTTTTTGGGGGAACACCTCATATCCAAACCATAACAGGCACTTTCCTGGACTCTTCTCTATCCCATTAAAATAATATTGCCGTGACTTATTTATAACAGGTACCATCTTCAAGAATGATAACTCCTTAACATTTGTAATTTTCAAATAGATTTTTGAATAATTTCCATATACGTATAATCAGTTCAAAAATGAGCTGATTTCTGCTTATCAGTCTTGTTACATCATATACACGTATTTGTAACGCGTACATAAACATGCAGGTATACTTTGTTATTTAAAGAAGATGGCCATTCCTCTGTTTGACTGACAGTCTGTTCCCTTTTGCTTATGCGGTTTTTCTGTAGGTATCAGAACCCTGTCCCTTGGCTCCAGCCACCTGACCCAGACAATCCATTCCTGAACTTTCCAAACTCCTAGAGTCAAGTTCATGTTAGGATGTGCCCGTGGGTGCTGGACACTGGGGTGAGACGGAGGTATAACTCACCCTGTGGTTGTGAGGTTGTTCACAAAGGAGCAAAGGCAAATCCCCACTTTCTTGGTTTTCCGTCTCTCTTCAGCTTGCCCCGACATCACCCCACGGTCTGCTTGGGAGGCCAGAGAGACACACTGCCCTCACATGAGCCTCCCAGCCAGATACGTCATCATCATCCACACTGCCGGGACCAGCTGCAGTGTGTCCATGGACTGCCTGAGCAGCGTCAGAGACATACAGTCCTTCCACATGGACACGCTAGACTTCTGTGACATCGGCTATCAGTAAGTGGGACCCAGGGGCGCATGACCCCTTGCTTCTTCAGGGCTGTGGAAAGGAGGGCTGGGAAGGAGCTGGCGATGCCTGAGCCCTGCCTTTGTGGCAGGACTTCACTTAAGGCATTGCATTTTGAGTTGCAAGACTCTAGACTGAGAGTCATTAGAGCATTGGTAGGCTACTTTTATCTCGTGCACACATTATCCAAGAGTGGTTGGGGAGACCCTGAAAAGAAGGCTCTGGAAGCAGTAGAGATAAAGCAAACTGTGAGGCCCCCAGGGAGGCCATTGAGCGGGTGTGCACTTTCCCTGCAGCCCCTTCTGGTCAGTCAGAGGCCAAGGCCCTGCTCTCCCACCACCTAGTCTGGCCCCAGCCCACACTGACTCTCTGCGGTATTAGAAGGCTGCTGTGCTCTGCCATTCGCTCTGTTTATAGATACAGAAATTTTTAACCACCGTGGGTCTTTTTTTATCTCATCTCTACAGTAGGGACAATGATATGTTTTCTGTTTGAAGACAGGGAATGAGATTAAAATGTGCTCCTTTGATTCCCTTTATGCCAACTGTAAGATGAAGAAACCTGTTAAACTAATAGAATAGCAGAAGCTACTTGGGAGGTGCCTTGGAGTTTCATAGAGTAGATTTAGGGTTAGCGTAGGAGAAATTTCATTTGTAACTTAATCTCAGCAATTTTTTTTTTTAATACCGAGGATTGATCCCAGGGGTGCTTAACCACTGAGTTACTTCCCCAGCCCTCTTTATTTTTTTATTTTAAGACAGGGTCTCACTAAGTTGTTCAAGGGCCTTGCTAAATGACTGAGGCTGGTCTTGAACTTCTGACTCTCCTGCCTCAGCCTTCCTAGTTGCTGGTATTATAGGCGTGGGCCACCACACCCAAGACAGGTGGCTTTTATAGACAATGACTGAAACCGTGGCAGCTGATGATTGTTCAGGGTGAATTCTTTGAGTGGAAAGAGAGAAAGGGCTAGACCAGGGTCCCAAGGAAGGAGTCCAGGGTCCTAAAGATCACAACTCTTGGTGAAGGGAAGTGGGGTGGCAGAGAGACCCAGGGGAGCCGCGGAGTGGGGGGATCAGGATGGTGTGGGCTTGGGGAAGATCATGGTCAGCTGGGTCAGTGTTTTCCAGAGGTAAGTGTCCTCTGTATTTAGTGCCAAGGAGGTCACTAGTCCTCTTAGGGGGTCAGATTCGGGAAGTGGTGAGGACAAAGGCACATTGAGGTGGACGGTGTCTTTGTCTGGGGCCTCTGTGCACATTGGCACTCGAGAGACATTCAGACAGTACGTGACGATGGATGAGAGAGTGAATGAATGGTGGAGGGAACGAATGCACAAACTCTGCTCCCGGGGGTGACTGTCTTCATTTCCTTTGCCCAATTCTAGCTTCCTGGTGGGCCAGGATGGCGCCGTGTATGAAGGCGTAGGCTGGAATGTCCAAGGCTCCCACACCTACGGATACAACGACATTGCTCTAGGAATTGCCTTCATAGGCAACTTCGTAGGTAAGGGAGGAAGACGGGCAGAGGGGTTCTGGGAGATGAAGTCCCCTGCGGAATACTCAGGAATACCCTGGGGGCACAGGTGGCAGCGGGGCGCTTTCTAAAGTGGCGGAGCCAGTGGAATATTTTAAAGTGGACTTGGTCCAGAGTGCATGCCATCAAGAGGCCCTCCCAGACAAAACATTATCCCCAATTCGCCCCTCCCCACCCCCATCCCCATTTCACTTCATGCCCATGTTCAAGCTAGCGTGGGGCAAGGTAGGGAAAATATCTTTTGCAAACTTTGGGGCTGTTATGACTCAGCTGGCAAATGTGTCCTCTTCCTTGGTAACCATGGCAACAGTGTTGACTATGGCCCAGGCCCGGCTGGTCCTGGATCTGCTCTGTTCTTGTTAAGAAGTGGTGTGTCACGCTGGAGTTGTACTCCAGGGCGGCTTTTGACTTACTGGAAGAAACTTTTGCCATGGGGAGTGGGGAGCACAGAGCCTTGTCCTCTTTCTGTGTCTGATTGCCACAGTTCCTGTGAATTTGTGGGTCAGGGAGACGGTGGGATTTAGTGGGGACTGAAGAGGGGAGACTGGAATCTAGCTGCTTGTCCCTGCCCTGAACCAGCACCTTGATACTCTAATGATTGACGGAGTAAATATGTTTTGCAGAAAAACCTCCGAATGCGGCCTCCCTGGACACAGCCCAGGTTCTGATCCAGTGTGCCGTGGTCAAGGGGTACCTGGACCCCAACTACCTGCTGGTGGGCCACAGTGATGTGGCTAACCTTCTGTCCCCTGGGCAGGCTTTGTACAACATCATCAAAACGTGGCCTCACTTCAAACACTGAGGGGGGCCCACTCCTGAGGCTCCTCTCCCCGGCTGCACCTCACTGTCGGCACCTCCGCCCCAGGGTCACCATCTGTGTCCCCTCTCCTACAAGCCCCACCTTTCTCAGGCTGAGGTGACCGTGTCCTCATGTCAATGCTCCCCAGCATCCCCCAGGCTATCAGCTGGGTACCCACAGCCCTCTGAGTCTCAGCCCAGTCCTCTCCCCTGGGCACCACGTGCTGGGCCTGGTGAGATGGTTGCCTGGTTCCCGTCAGCCTTCTCTTTCTTTTGTACGGGTCCCTCTGCCTGGTGTGCCTTGCCCTGTGGCCTTCCTGGAAGCCCCCCGCCCTCATCCGTCACCTGGGCCAGGCTGCCCACTTCTCCTCTCTGCTCACACATCAACGTGTGCAGATTTGGATGCAGTCTTTATTCCATAACTATATTTTTATAGTTATGTCTGATTCTTTTCTTCTGGGTCTGAGTTTCTTAGGGGAGAAGCTGCGTTCTGCTGACCCCTGTGTCCTCTGCTCCTGAGCAGTGTCTGTTTAATAGGAGCTTTAGATGTTTGCTGAAGAGACGGTGAATAGGCCAGTGACCCTAGCTCCTGCTCAGCTGGCCAGTTCTCCCCTCAGCCCTCTCTGGGGAGCCCTCCTGCACATGCCCGGTCCCATCAACACTCTCTCTGTCCTGTTCCCTCCCACTCTGGAGCTCAGAGCTGTTGCTGGTGGCTTGTCTGAAATGGGTGCTGTGTCTCTAGGGTCCTATGTCCCTGTCCCCCTAGAGAACCCTGAGGATGGACTGGGTGCTCCTCCGGGGTCAGTACAAGCTGCCCAGTGCCTGCCCATGCCTGGTTGGACCCAGCTAGGTGCCCAGCTGGCCAAGGACCAGGAGCCACGGTGCTCTGCACCCCTCCCTGCCCAGGCTCCTCCTGCCTGCAGGGAAGAGCCAGACAACCCACTGCTTCCATGGAAGCACACAAGAGCTTGCTTCACTGGGCCTGATCCAAACACCGGGGAAGAGGGGAGGAGGAAGAAGGGGTGGAGTAAGGGGAAGGAGCCAGAAGTGTGCCCCCCCATACCTTCCTCTGGTGTTTACACTGTGTTTTGCTTTTAGAGGGTTTTCACATCTTTACCACGGGCATGTTTTAACAGCCTACCTCTCCACAGCTCTGTGCTTCTCAAAGACTCCCCCAGTCTCACCGGATTATCTCTGTCCATTAGTTATTTCTCCTCAGGCACCGGGGTGGGTAACCAGGGGAAGGAATGGTTTGTCTAGAGGGTGACCAGAGACACTGTCACTCCTGATTTGCATGAGCAGAGAAGTCTCTTTGTCTGCCCTGGGCTTCCTGTGGGTGTGGGGCTGGGTGCAGACTTTCCTGGGGAGCCCTACCCCCCCCCCCAGGGTGAGTTAACCCCTCCTCCTGCAGGAAGCAGCCAGGGTGAGACTGAGCTCCTGAGAAATGGTCTCACGAAAGAGCTGTTTGCTGTGGTTTGAAAGTGTTTCTCAAAGCTCATGTGTTGGAAATTAAGTCCCTCATTGGCGACAAGTGTTGAGAGATGGAACTTCAACAAGGTGATTAATGCATTGACCTTATTATGAGCTGGGTTTGTTATAAAAGTAGACTCAGCTCTCTCTCAGAGTGTGCACGCGCATGCTCCCTGGCTCTTCTCCATTCTGCCACGGAATGACACAGCAAAAAGGCCTCCTCAAACGTGGGCCTCTGGACTCTGGACTTCCCAGCCTCCAGACTGTAAAAAATAAATGTCTTTTTAAAAAATACAAGTGATGCAGTCTCAGTCATTCTCTTCTAGCAGTATAAAACAGATGAAGACACTTTCAATTTCTGGGCCTTCCTTACAATCCTCCAAAGTAGATTTAAACCCTATTTCCAGGCCTCCGGGGCTTGTTGGCCTATCCCCACACAGATTCTATCCTGGAGAGGGATTTGTACACTCCCCCCTGTCTCTGTCAGCATCCACAGAGGCCTCCTCCAAACCGCAGTGTTAAATGAGATGGATCAAATTATGTTGTGTGTGAGCACAAAGATGGCATAATGAATCCCACCATTAAATATAACTGTAAGGCACCAATAAAAAAATTAGAAATACCCCACAGTATTGCATGGTCTGGATTATTCCTTTCTCCAATTATCTACTTTTATTGATCTTAAATATACAATCTGAGTAAAATCAGAGCCCTCAGCTGGCAGAAGTTTTCTCAAGGCAGATTCTGAGGTAGCCTGTTGTGTGCAGTTAGCATCTTTATGAGATATATATTGGTATCTGGGGTTGAACCATATCCCTGATGCACATCCCCAGCCCTTTTTATATTTTAATTAGAGACAGGTCTCGCCAAGTTGCATGGGGCTTTGCTAAGTTGCTGAGGCTGGCGTTGAACTTGTGATCCTCTTGCCTCAGCCTCCTGAGCTGCTGGGATGACAGTGAAGCCAGATTTAAAGTTAGGTAGTCAGTGTAGTTAGGTAAATCGGGTCTAATACTGAGTGAAATCTAAAATGGAGGCCATGCTGGGAATGACTCAGGGACAACATAGGACAACTCATGGAATGTTAATGAAGTCCCAAAGAGGCCCTAGGCCAAAGTCCACCTCAAAGAAGTATTAATGAATAGCTCCCAGCAGATTTGGAGATAGCCCATCACAAAGAAGTGATAATGAAGTCCTTCCTGCTCAGACTACTTCTTTGGCCCACCTGTGTCCCACCCCTCGGGCCTTCCAACCTACGTCCACGGATTCCACCTTCTGGGTCCCCTTCTTCCTCTGGGAGAAGTCTCTTCTGCTGTCCTTTAATAAATTTCTAATCTCTACTCTGACCTTGCCTCGGCGTGCTTCTTTGGTGTTATTCTTCAACATCGGGGAGCAAGAACTTGTCACCGGTCAACAGCGGCAACAACAGGATGACAGGTGTCCTCTCTGGGCTGTTTTACAGAGAAATTCTTCCTCTCTCCCCTCTAATCACTTAAAGTGGGGGTTATACTAACAGCCTCCTCAAATGATTGCTGTGATGTTTAAATCTCTGGGTTTTACGAATATCTATCCAATGGAGGGATCTTAGAACCATCCCCAGCATACAACCACGGTTCCATTAAAATTAGTTGAGGATCATGATGATTGTCACCAGTATAGTGACTGTCACCATTATAGACTGTGCTGTCTGTTGGTCCTGTTTGACTCTGGCAGGAAGGATGTGCTTTTGTGAGCACTGACCTCAGCCCCCTGGGGGAGTTTGTGCAGCCTGAGCCCAAACCCTGTGACAGCGGGGAGGGGCCTGGCACCCAAGCAGGCCCTCAGGGCTGAAGAAGCTGTGGGGAATGGGAGGTCGTACCTCTTCCCAGCCCCCTGGGTGTCAGGTTGGGAGGGACTCCAGAGCTCAACCACTCGGCTGTTTTCCATAATTTTAAGTTGGGGGGAGGGAAACTCTCCAGAAATTTCTCGGGTTTCAGAATTGTGAATACTAGGCTGATCAAAGCCCCCTATTTTATTGAAGACTGAACCCAGAGCGGGAAGATGATCTGTTCAAGTTGGTAAAGGAAGGGGCACTTGGGTTCCGAGCTAAGGCACGGTTCCTGCCACCCTCTGACGGACATCATGTTATGCCTCCTCTTTCCAGCAGAGTCAACGGGGCTTCTGCCATCGAATTCCCGTCTACTCTTTCCCCTGAACCTGCAGGATTACTCTGAGCCTCATCCTTTGGGCTTCCCATCCTGATGCTTTCTCTCCTGCCACCCCCCACCCCACATTTTGACGTCTCCAATTCCACCTGCTCTTTACAGTGCTTTCTGAAGGCTAGCTCTTCCAGAAGGCTCCTTGCTTCGCCACATCAGAAATGACATCTCCTTCCCCAAGTGCCCATGGCTTCTCTAGGCTTACCCCTGACCCCTCACTTGCCCCTTTTTCCTGACCCTGGCCTCCCCGGGGCCTGTGCCATCTTGAGGGCCTCCTGCAGGGCCAGGCACATTTCTGGGGCCACCTGAGTGTCTGGAGTGAGAGGCAGGGTGAGGTCCCCAGGGGTGGGCGGCAGCTCTTCTTTCAGCTGGTCTTGGATGCTTGCCGCAGAGTGGAAAATTCCCGTCTTCTTGCTGCACGGGCCCAGCCCACTGCCCCGACTGGTTACATTTCTCACCGGCTAATTCCTTCTCAATTCCAGGCCATGACTCATCCCCACCCTCGGGTGACTTCCCCACCAGTGTGAGACATGAGGGAAGACATGCTCTCCAGCACCGATATGCCCCCCACCTGGGGCTTCTGTGACTTTCTCAGTGTGGTGACCACAGCCCCGCTGTCCTGTGCTGCCTTCCTCCCACTGGCCCACTCAGGAAGATTCTTCCTGGGGTTCTGGCAGATACCCGGTCCATGCTTCCTGGGCTCTTCCTCTTTGTCTATTTCTGTATCCTTCTGTTCTGCTCTGTCTGTTCCCGCCTTTGTCCTTTCTCTAGAATATGCTAGTGTGAAAAAAATAGTGGGAGAGGGGTGGCGGTGCTGACCAAGCCTCAGTCCTGTGGAAGCACCTCAAAATCACCTCTTTAAGAATTAAAGTCCCGGGCTGGGGATGTGGCTCAAGCGGTAGCGCGCTCGCCTGGCATGCGTGCGGCCCGGGTTCGATCCTCAGCACCACATACCAACAAACATGTTGTGTCTGCCGAGAACTAAAAAATAAATAAGTATTTAAAAAAAAAAAGAATTAAAGTCCCGTTCACACAAAAACTTGTATGTAGCAGCTTCAGTCATGATGATAAAAGAGCAGAGCCGACTCGGGCGTCCATCCACGATGTGTGGATAAACATCTAGACAGTGGGCATCATTCAGCCACAGAAAGGAGTGGAGTTTTGACACAAGCTACACGCGGATGACCCTTGAAAACACTACGCTAAGTGAAAACAGACAGTCGCAAAAGGCCACACATCCATGATCCCATTTGTACGGAATGCACAGAACAGAGAAAGTCACTGAGAGTTATTCTACAGGGGCTGGGGGTGGGTAGGGAGGGAGAAACGGGAGCGATTGCTAATGGGTTTGGAGGGGGATGAGGCAAACATTCTGATATTAGGTAGTGGAGTTCAACACACAATGCGTGAGTATTCAAAACCAGTGAATTACATATTGTATCAAAAAGGTAGGCTTTGTGATAGTCATTTCATCTCAATAAAGTTATTATTAAAAAAAGAATCACCTCTTCACCCTGCCCGAGGGCCACGGGGTGCCAGGAGTGGGAGGAGATGGGCAAATGGCCAGGAGCAGGGTGGTTCTGGGGAAGGCGCACATTTTCCAAAAGTTTAGAGACAGAGCAGGATTACGTGAGTTTCTGGCCCAGCAGGTTCTGCAGGCAGCGGGTGGAGGGAAGGACCCTAATTAGAGGGAGCTCTGAGAGAGGGAAGGTATAATTAGGTAGAAGGTGTGGTGGGTGGGGGGTGGGGGTGGGGCTCCTGGGAGGGATGGCAGTGACCTCATAGGGAACTTTCCACAGTGGGCTGGGGTAAGAAGTGCCTCCCGTGGGCAGGGAGCTGGGGATTCTCCCCCAGGGAGACTGGTACGCTCAGTGGCTGGTAGTCACAAGAGTGATGTGGCTGTCCTCCCAGGAGGGGCGGAAGGAATCCCCCCCCCCCGCCCCCCAGTGCTCAGATCACACGCCACGGCTTCTAAAGGTCCAGCTCCTAAAGTCCTCAAATATAATTCTCCTATTTTGTTCTTCTTTGGCGCTCTGTTCATTTATGATACTTATTCATATATGTTTTCTCTCTCTGTCTCTCTGTGTGTGTGTGGGCACACGCACGCGCACACACACACACACACTTTATTTGACTTTCCTACTAGACTTTAGGCTCTGTGAGCCCTTGTTTGTCACTCCGATGCTCTTGTTTGATCCTGGTGCTCAGTAGAAGCTCAGCCAATATTTCAGACAGACTGAATCCCAAGGTCTGGGGAGCAGGTGCTGGAGCAGGCAGCAAGTGCAGTTGGTTTGCCTGAGTCTGTCTGCACTCAGCTCCCCTTGGGTGGTGGCGGGGAAGGATCCAGCTTATGAAGATGGAGGGGTGAGCAGGAAACTGAGCTGGGATCAGCAGGTGGCAGCAGACCCACAGAGCAGATTCCCTACTGGGGGACTGGAAGGGCTGAGTGCTTAAAGACATCTGGTTGTCCTTTCTGCCTGCAGATTCTGCTAGGCGCATACCATACACGACATCATTTAATCCTCAAAACGGCTTTGCAGGAATTAGCATTTCTTTTTGAAAGCTGAGGACTCCTGTTGGAATCAGAGGGATTCAGTTAATTCTGCCACACAGGAAGAGCAAGCCTTTGTGCTGTCCACACCGGATGTCCTCCGGGGGCTCATATGCCTTTCACAGTTGATGACCGGAAATGGATGCCTGGAGTTCACTAGAGGAACTCTAGTTTCTTGGTCCAACAATATTCTTCAATTAATAGGGCAACACACGTAAAAATCCCATGGAATTGTGTAGTTCTGAGTCATCCTCTGGTCACACCACCTGCCCCCACTTCATCATAACTGCCATTAACCCCCTCTTACCCATCAAGCCTTGCTGGGCCTGTTTTTCAACCTAGCTGCAGGACTCCGGTTTGTCTTGATTTAGAGTCACAGTTGTCTTTCTCCATAACTCAAATCTTTTGAAACCCTCTTAAATCTCAATTCTGTCATCCTCTGTGATTCATTGCTCACTTTTTTTAATCTTCAGCATTTATATTCAAATCCTGCACCATCACCCAGCATCCATCAGACATATGCATTGGGCAATGAGTGCAGGCACTTTGGCACAGATCACCCCACTGGACCCTCACAAGAATGCTGCTGTGAACCGGGAGGGCACGTTGTCCCCATTTTACAGATGGTACCAGGCTCAGCCCGAGGTTGAGCACTTGTTTTCCTGTACTATTGTGGCCTTGTGCTGTCTTTGCAGAGATCTCCCTCCAGGCTGACAATACAACCCATTAACCATGAATCTCTGCTTTGGTTTGTGGCCAAGCCCAAAGGTATCGACAGCACGGGGCATCTGAGGATCCCTGGAGCATGCTTGTGTTTGT